ACTGCTCTGTAGACAACATGACAAAAGACCTAAAATCCTATTCTTTAATACACTTACCAACAAGAGCTAGGATACAAAATTTCACTCAGACTGCAGTGGATAAGCTGAACCTTGGGAGCAGAATACAAGATAAACCTCTCTGAATCTGCCCTACGCAAAACTTTAAGATTCATTGCACTATATACAGTAGTAAGAACATAAGAAAGCAGATTAAAGACAGAATCACAGTTATTCATAATAATTTTTAAAGTTGCCTGGCAAACCAGATAATTTTATAAACTGCACCTTCAGAATATAAAGACAAAATGCAAATCAAGTTTAATATCTAAGTATTCTGAACTCCAGGTCCAACATGCAGCCATTGAGATGGCACTGCTGTGCTGAAACTTAGCTGGTTTTTTTCCTTACTTCTGTCCACCACTTAGAGAGCCACAGTTTTAACAGTTATAAGCATCCATTGTCTTCTTGGATAATGATCAAACCTATTCAGATGTATTTGAAAGACATTAGACAGTTGGGTGCTTAGTAACATTAATCAGAACATCCTTTCCTGCTTCAAGATCATCATGGCAGGTCTATGCACTGAGCTTCTGCCTCCTGCATCTCCCTCCTTACACAGGGTATCACCCTGGGGGACTGCTACTACAGTCACTTCTTCAACCAGGATGGGGCATTCCACCTGTAATACTAAGCTAACAAAAGTAAATGCAAACATTCGAGCTGGATGAGACCACAGCAGCAGAAATCCTGCAGATACAAGGAGAAATAAAAATTCCCTACTGTCGCCACATGAACTGTGGAGAAGAGACTCCTATAAAAGGCAGTCCTATTTCTAGGAATGAGTATCGGTGTACTGAGTTCTGTGTCTATTTTAGGGCATGACAGAACAGATGTAACTTAGTTTATTGGAGAGGATTTCTTCCCATCTAATTACATAATAGCAGAATTTCTTGCATTGGTTTTGAGGGGAAGTGGAAAAGAAGAAATTAAAACGCAAGAGAAGACAGGCTAGTCCAAAAATAGATAAAACAAAGAACTATACACACTGCAACTCTCCAAGACCACCTTCTTGGAGCAAAATCCCCTCTGAATTATGAAGACAGCTGTGTCAGGTGTCATCAAAATTCTTCTATCACCAAGAAAATTTCTAAGAAGGGTTTCTGTGCCTTCCCACTCACCATCTTACAAATGGCAGCTGGTGTGATAATGGATACTGTGTCCTGCTGATAATAACTTCAGGAAGTCTGGGACACTCCAAGATTTTTTTCCAAGCAAAAAAGAGCCAATGAAAAAACTGATAGTTATTTCAGAAAAAAAACTTTCAGAAACTCTGTCTTCAAGCACTGCTGCCGAAGTGAAGCCAGATACTGTGAAATTCACCTCAGTATGCTGAAGCAATCTCAAACTGCTTCCTACCACGTTTGAAACTTCATAGTGATCAAAGAAGTTCTGGAAGAATCTCAGGTATTCCCTGCCAAACTGGGAGAAAGTAACTCATCCAAGCAAGTCAGTCCTGCATCTAACGCTGCCCAATACTTAAGTAACTCAGATGATACAACAAAGAAAACTCCTGTTAAATTTGCAACTTAGACAAAACCTGAAAAAAGTCTAACACAACAGAAGACAGGATTAGGATTCAAAACTATTTGGACAAATTGGAAAATCATGTGGAAGTAAGTAAGAAAGATTTCATTAAAGAGAAGTGCAAAGTCATAGTGCTAATGGGAGTGATCAACTGCAGAACTATCAGATCAGAAAGATCAGACTCAGCTGGGTACATTGCAGTGCTGCAGAAACCCAACAGTAAAACAGACTGCAAACTGCAGACAGAATCAAACTTAAGCAAACTCAAAAGGATGCAAAACAAGAAGCAAAATACTTAAGACACATGGATGGTTATCTGGCTTGTTTGGGTACTACATGGCAAGAGAAAATTAGGTCAATTTGATTGCAAAGGAAATAAGAGTTGGAAGACAAAATTCCAGTATCAGAGAGCTAGGAGATAAATTTTATCAGGGTAGTTGGTTTTACTCAGTCCAGAGACTAAGTGAAGACACATACATCATCACCAACTATGTAAGAAGTTCTTACTCACTCTAAAAAAATATATTCTGCATATTTACTTTGGCTGGTTAAACTGGAAAATTCAGAAACAGAGATTTATCTGAGATGCTAGAAAAAAAGAATAAATCTAACAATAGGTTTAAGCAAAGATGGACAAAGATGAATGAAACCTGCTATCAAAAATTTAAGATTATATTTTATGAAGGCAATGGCTCTCAAACTTGTTCAGCCAGAAGACGAGTACAAATCAAATCTCAAATCTTATTAATACCTATTGAAACGGAAAAGGCAATTTAGTATATATTGTAGCATACCAAAGAGGCAATTGGTTAGAAAAGCATGTGCAAGAATTGGTTTTGGTAGATGTTGACCCTGTCTAACACAAGGGAATACACTATACAAGTATTTCTCTACCTTTTAAATTTAAAGACCACCTGGTATATTAAAAAGGAACCCATAAATCACTATTTCCTGGTGCTTTTCAGAGGAGAGGGGACAATAAATAAAGTAACTGTTGCACATCACAATTTCTTAAAACAGCAGATACAGACTTAAAAAAGTAATCTGAAATGATGGAGCAGTGAACATGATTCATAACCAAAGCATTGCTGCTTGAGCATTTTAAAGATATTTCATTCATTTCCTATGGTTTCAATATGTTAAGATAACAAACAAGAAAAAAACAAATAATAGTGTAAGTCAGTCTGCCTATCACAGACAAGTTTCTGGTAAGCTCTAGTCTCAAGAGTTATTTATTAAAAAAAAAGATGCCCTAGCACTTAGCCTGAAGGACCCAACAGAAGGAGTTACATCTTCTTTTATAAAAGGTTTCTATTAACAATCTGCTAAGAATATGAATTTCTCATTTGTTACTGGCACTATGTCAAACTTGGTTAGTTTTCCAATAGGCATGTTTATAGGTCATGTGTATATCGAAGAATCAAACAATGTTCTTTTAGCCTACAGATCAGTCCCCTAACCAATGAGTACAATTACCAGATTTAGTGATTTAAGCTCCCAGCCTAACAAGAAAAAGCACTGAATACTTCAGACCCTGGAAAAATCACATTAAAATATCCTGCAACTGAAATTTAGGAAAGAATTCCTAAATTATTTCTACTTTATTAATTCAAACTATTCACGATTATCCTTTACTTGACATAAACGTACAGACCTCTCAGTCTTCTCCAAGTTACAATTCACCAGAAAGACTTTAAGACAAGCAGCTTGGGCAGGAGCTAAGCAGCATCCTACACTGACTGAATGCCATCTAATGTGCATGTGGGGAAGAAGGAGAGGTCATCACTCTAAGATGACCTCGACAGAGCTCGGCACACATTTCTACCAGCTCAGATGGTAACAAATCTAATTATTCATTATGTTTAACTATCTGGAATTAATCAAAGTAAAGCCTCCAAACTGAGTAGGACAGAAACAGACTTTGTACATGGCTGATATCGATTCCCACATGGCCACATTCCCAAATCTGGGTTGGGCTGCCTCCCCTCCTCCTCTCTTCATACAGGCTTAGCTGAAAAGCTTTTGCAATGTACTGCCCAAGTTCATGAGTTTCATGTTGGAATGACCCATTTAAAACAGGAAGCTATCTGTAATACTTCTTTAGGTATCCCATAAATTCCAGCTTCAGCTGTAACTGGCTTACATTTCCTGCAATTTGAAAGTACTAAGCTTTGTTAATATATCTAAGGGATAGAACCCTAACCAATCTCACAGAGCCACTACAAGACTTCTTCATTTTTGTGTCAGTAAAAGTGGCACATGAGCCATGAGAGTAACAGATGAAATGAGAAATGGAAGTGCTGGAAAAAAAAAAAAGAAGAAAAATACAAACTGGCTAAAAGTTGTCCATAGTTTAAAACAAAAAAACCCCAAACAAAACAACAACAACAAAACAAAAAAACCCACAAACACAAAAAAACAAAAAAAACCAACCCAAAACTCAAAAACAAAACAAAAACAAACAAACCCCCACCCCCAAAAACAACAACAACAACAAAAAAAAGAGAGGTTATTCAAGTCAAGAATGTGGAACAGACACACCTGGTTGAGGTCTAAATTGATATTTTGTTCTCCTAACAGTTCTTGAGAAATGCATTTATCAACTTTCCAAGTTACTTAGACACAGATTTAAAGCGGCTATGCTAAAAAAAAGAAAAAAAACCCACAAACCACTTCCTCTCACACACAGCACAAAGAACAGGGATCATGGTACTGCTATTCTACGTACAAAACATTAATTCCTTCTTACACAGGATCTTCTGAAAGTGGACATAAAATTGAAGAGAGTGGACTTCATCCTACTGTTTTTTTCATCTGTTCACAAACTAGATATTTTTGATTTGAAGAAAAAAAATGGAATTTAAATGATGTATCAGTTTTACTCCAGCAATACAAGGCATGGATTGAGATAAAGCTCAAACTTTATGAAGAAAAATAGTTTAATATAAACAATAACTGTTTTTACTCACTAGTTTTAAACGAAGTCCATAATACCCTTTTCCTAAACTTTACATAAAAACTGAGCTAAAACTAAAGATTTTAAGGAGAAAAGTAACTTTTGCCCAATTTTCTCCCTCCTCCTGAGCTGATATGGACATCTTGTTTCAGTAGTTCTTAACACACAGAGCTCACTAGCTCAGTATTTTAAAAAAATAAAATTTGACAGGTCTTGAAGAACTGCAGGAACTTCATTTGACAAGAGGTGAGAGAATGTCAATACTGGCAGAGAACCCCATTAAATTATCTGTACCAAGGGGACATTAAGAAGAGATTAAATGAAAGAAGATGGGAAAGAGAAGTCAGTGAAAGAAATCAATAATGAGTTTACTACACAATTGCCAATGAGAATACTGTAGTACTGCAAACATTTGTAAGACTTCACTGACTGCAGACATTTTCTCTTTTTTTCTACTTACCTAGACCTTTTTGTCCAGGATTTTTAGCAAAGTTAAAAGTAAACTGATAAAAATCTTTGAACTTTGCTGGATCCTTTAGCTCTTGTTCCAGCCTTGGCAATAAAGCTTTTAGCTTTTCTGTGGAGTCACACCTGTTCAAAAGAGATTACATTATTTGCATATATTTAAAATATCTTCCTACTTTCCCCCCACTTTGCTTATGGTTTAGTTTAAGAGCAAAAATAAAACCAGTGGTTAAGACAAAAGACATCATCTTTGTGGACAGCACTATGAAAAATATAAATATTGTGAAAAATATAAATGCTCATGTGCCTTTACTAAAGAATTTTAAGTGGAACATTGTATACAGGCATCCTTTAGGTACACAACGCAACAGGATTCAGTGGTTTAACTTCTTTTGTATCTTTTGATGAATTTCTGAACAGATGCTATTCTGTTCTTAAAGAACATCCAAACCTCACTGAACTCTGTTATTCCTTCCCCTGAGACAGTTGTTGTAACACAAGTGTGTGGTTTTGCTTTAATCTAGATAGACATTGCTTATTCCCTGCTCTTGTGAATAAAGCGCTTCACACTTTTTTTACAGTTCATCTTAACATTTCAGGACCTTCCAACTAAATGAAGCATTATTTACAGTCATTCTCTCCCCATCATAGAACAATTAAGAATAAAACTGAGGAACAAAATAAGCCCTGAATGACAGCCTGAAAGCTAGTAACAGCCTGGCACAGGTAAGCTAAGACAGAATCAAGTTACTGAAATTCTAAGAGAAACACATCCCTGAATAATACCACCAAAGCATTTTCAGTGAAAACACCTGAGCTGAGAAGTCACACTTTTTTAAAAGGGAAAAGTGTTTCTGGCACAGTGAGGCATCAAATGAATATTCAAGGTTTACAAGGACATTACCACTATCTTGAATTGCACCTAGAAACTCAAAGTGAAGCAAATGGGTTTCAAAAGAAGCAGTATCACAACTAACACTGTGTATTTGAAAATTTCCTGCAGTTAAATATTTGTATTTATTCTAAAGATCCAAGAAAGATTCTATGAAAGGATGGGTAACTATAACAACATCCATAAAACACAAATGCAGTTTTAACTGTCTTGCACCGTACAGATAAAAATAAGTACCTTTCTGGTCTCCAGCAGTACCTGGCAGAGAAAAGAAAGAATTCTGCCAACAGTCTTCAACTCAGAAGCTCAGTTTGGGAGCCTCTTCTAGGGACTTGATGTAGACAATAAATACACCTTCTCATATGTATCCTAAAGATGCTATGTGATCTAAGCCTCGGGGAATGTCTTTCCATTCGACTGCTCACTTGTCTTCACTGCTCAAAGCCACAGACACTGTGCCTCCAAGTATGTAACAAAATCATTCCAAATTCTCACTAAGTGCTGTGGCAAGCAGCACAGCCACATTATGCTCCTAAGAACAGCTGTTCTTCCAAGAACAGGTGGTTTAGCAAAAGGTTTTTAATCACTTTTATGGAAAAAAAAATGCTGGCAACCTTTAGCATAATAGCACAAGCACTTAATTTCTGTCCATGGTTACAAAATCATAATTGTTCTTGTAATTTCTACTCAGAGTTACCCAGTGGGACAAAATAAAGCAGTGAACTTCAGATAGTATCAGAAGTTATTTCATCACAATTTCCTAAAAAGGAAAGCTTAAAAAGAAATCAGTAACTGATGGCATCAGAAACATCAGACTGCTACAATCTCTGTTCAAAAAGCGACCAACACATTTCCTAAAACTTGGTCTGTCCTAGAAATGTATTGATTAAGGTGTCATTCTAAGATCAAATGAAATTGTTTAGCTACAAAAAAGAGGAACAAGTAATAAACTGTACTTATCCACCCATTTAATCTGTTAAAAAGAGTCATTTATTTTATGATATATGCTTGACTTTATTGGTAAGCACAAGCAATGTTCAAAGTTTATTAACCAGAACAGCTCCATAACCCAGAAAGGAATTTTTATCAGTTAAATCACAGTTGGACCAATATTTTCTACCACCAATATCCTCATTTTTATTTCAATTCTTCATAGATATTTTGTACAAATGAAGTATCTAGTACGAAAGAAATCATAGGTGGTAAAATGGACAAAAAGAAAGATGTGTCCATTTGTTGGTGGCAAGGTAAAGGAAAAGACTTGAAGGCTCTTTTCTGTCTTCCTATTTCTTTTCTGCTTCAACACTGACATTTTTTACCTTTCACACACCTCCACTGACTTTCAGTTTTTAACAGCAGGAGGTCCAACTCAAATCCTTAACACAAATATGCATATGCTTACTATGAACTACATAAAAAGACATGTGAATCCATCTAACTCCCTTGCTGTACAGAAATTGTTTTGCTTTCCCCCTACTGTGGTCATTAAGGCTTTGCAGTAAAGCACCAATTCAAGGAAGACAAGACACTACAGGCATTTTGCACCTGTTAAGCTTGGCACTAGCCTCAACAGCTTTTTAAAGCTTCACACGATTTAAGTGAAAATGTTTTGAACACAAACTGGGTTCCAGCCTTACATTATAAACTGTGCAGAAATGGATACTTACCCCAACTCTGTCATGCCATCAATAAATTCTTTTTTACTGAATTCACATTGCGTGGCTGCCCTGAATTTCCATGCCACAACCAGAACACTGATACTGGCTGGGTCCAGGCTTAAATCATCACAGAACTGCTGAATCCCATCAATGCCAATTTTATTTTCATCTTGTGGGTCTGCAGTTCAAAGTAGAAATAGGAGAATTACAATTAGTTACAAAACATATTAACAAATAATCATCTGACAGCTCCGATGTGATGGATAATAGAGGTATTCATTTTCTCATAACCTTCACAAATGTCTTCACTTGAAGTCCAGATATTTTCAAAAGATAATCAGTAAACAGATTAAGTATTCTGTAAACTTACAGAGAAATTGGTTTGCAAGTCTTCCTGAACAGTTTTTCTGATCCTGGTGACAGAACTCAATTTTGTTTTCCCTCCACAATCCCCTATAAAAGATTTGAATTAACTCGGGAGATGCTGCCTACATTTAGAAACAATAAAGGTGATAAGCACATCAAAGTGTACAACATATTTATATTGGTCAGTGTGCATTAAGCTTAAAAAACCAAACCCAAAGCAATCCAAAATCAAGTCCAACAAAAACACATGTGCCACGTTAAACCCCAGATTTTTTTTCCCTGATAGTGACATATGGGTATCCACTATATCTACTTAAAGACCACATTTAAACATTTTGGGGGTTTAATTAAAAGTCAGGGAAATCACCAAAACATTGTTCAAATGATGCCTTAACATAACAGAGTCTTAAGCTAATTAATAAAATTTAGTACAAGCAAAACATAGTATTTCCCCATTAGTACCTTTACGAATGTTGGTAGGTGCCTCATAATAATTCTGTAAAATTATTATTTTACAGAAAAAGCCCCCAAACAAACAACCCCCTGCATGCAAACTTAGATAACTGGAGAAGAAAAAAACAATTGAAGACAAAAGAAAATAAACCCAAACCTCTAGTTCTCAAAGCTGAAGACTTTACAAAGCACAAAACTGTCTTTCTCTGCTTTTGAGAGGAAGACATTTCAATATCATAAGTCGGACTATGTAAAGAAAGCATCTCTTGAGTAGATTTAATACTAACTTCTTAAACTACTACCATTTTCAACCATGCTATTTTTAAGTCCTGATCCAATAAGTTGATTAAAAAAAAAAATCAAGCCTAGACAAACTCTTTTGAATTTTATTTTAATTCTTAAGCTAAGATCTCTTTTACTTTTCCAGCCAATACTACAGTGAAAGAAATCGTAAATTTGAAAGAGGAAGTTAATTTGGCAAACAGACTCACATCTGTAAAACCAAGAATTACACACATGGTATTATTCAGGGACCTTCAATCCCAAATAACAAGGAAATATATCTATTCAACTACTTTTAAGACATAAAAAACATATTTCTTGTGTATTTGGGGAGTAGTTGAAGAGCTGAAGGCAAATTTCACTGTCTTGAAATCAGTGGAAAAATTCCAGTTGATTTCCACAAGGATTTCTCATCCCTATCATATTTCACATCATCCAGACAACTAGTAACAAAAATGCAATGGTTGTTTTCACAGAGTTGCTCAATAAAGAGGTAGAAAAATGAAGAAAAAACAGCACAGAAAAAGTCAGAAAAAAACACAAAAAAACACAAAAAAATTCAGATTTCAAGTATAGTGCAGACTAGTAACAAAAATGCAATGGTTGTTTTCACAGAGTTGCTCAATAAAGAGGTAGGAAAATGAAGAAAAAACAGCACAGAAAAAGACATTTCAGATTGCAAGTATAGTGCACTATTCTAAAGGCTTTGTAGACCAAAGGAATCCCTTACTGTTCAGAGGCCAGTGACTCAGGTTTAAGCCTGATATGAATTAAGGTAAGGTACTTAACCAAAACTTTTATAGTCTTCTGTCAAATCTTGTGAAAGTTTTTAATGTTTACACCTTCAGTTTTTAAGTGCCAGAACTGCAAAGGTGTGCTGCTAACTAAAACACTGACATAAACTGGCTAGATTTGCTTTGCCAAAAGTCAGATGGTGCAGTTTGCCACTGCTAGAAATTTATAAATAACAAGTAACATTTATGATATCTTCTTCCATTTTAGACAGTCTTAACAGCATTTACGAATTTGAATATATATTTTTGGCCCAGCAATCTCCAAAAGACTGACATTCAAGGAGCAAACAAAAGATTCAGATATATGTATATGCTGTATATACACACATATATATGTAAACATACACATATATAAAAACCAAAACATGGTTCTCCGAGTTTTGTCTCTGGGTTTGTGTTTTCACAAAGAAATGATATAGCATTGCTGCCTCTTTGTCCCTACATAATTCATTACCACACAACAATGAAGTATTAAAGAATCCCTACACTTCAAATAGAACAGATTATGCAAAGAAGAACAAAAATGGTTGGAATGGTAACATAAAAAAAGGATGAAGTGTACACAAAGCATGCCATACATTTCAATTAGAAAAGTATATAAAATCATAGTTGAGTAGTGGTTAAGAGTTCATGTTTTCAAATGTGAGATGGATGGATTTCAACAGGAGCTAGCACTGATTCCAGCCTGCACTGCTCCAACACGAACAGCGCACACTCAAGCCAGATGGCCCCTGCTCAGCAAGCACTGTCACCTGCATCACATACTTTCTCATATTTAAATGCCTTTTTTTTTGTTCTTTTAACAATGATACAAAACAAAACTTGGAAAATAAACAACTCTGCCTTGAATCCACTTTCCTGTGGTTTTCCCTCCAAACCTCTCTGAAAAGGCACATCAGTTTTGCTCTAATATGCCAGCATGAAGGAATTAAATAAGGCTGTAGTTTCTAGTTTTTGAGTTTTCTTATCTGTTTTGTCACACTCCTAGCTGTAACATTATCTGAAACATTTTTGATTTTAATGTATAGAAACATTACTGTCTCTGAACAGAATTCATTCATCCAAATATTAGCATAACAATATGTATTATTTTGCCATGGAAAGACCATCATACACATTTAAGAGCAGCTATTGTCAAGAAATCACATAAGTTGCACAATAAACATTGCTACAATATTTGACAACTGGCACTTTTTCCTCACTGGAAATTTAATTTCCTACTTTTAAAGTCTACAGAAATCTCCACAGAAGTTGTGGGCAGATCATTAAGAGCATTTAAACCCTTTCTTTACTCTCATCTTATTACTATAAACACACAGTGAGAAGCAAAAGCTAGCAAGCTTTACTTAAAACTCCTCAATGGTAGAGAGAAAAGCAGAAAAAACTTCTCACACAACATAATTTAGAAAAAAACAAAACAAAATCCACAACAACAACCCCAAGCTTACCAACCAAAAACTCACCAGAAAACAAAACCTTACCTTTGTATCGATTATATAATTGTTCTAATTTCTTCTTGTCTACTGAATTTTTCATGGATTCTTTGTAGTACAAGTCTGGATTCTGGAAGTAGTTGTCTGTTGCCACTTCTAGTTTCCATTCATTCTGTGTTAAGCAGTATATAGCAGTCCTTTCACCAGCCTGGGTAAATGCCATAAACTGGCGGACCTTGTCCTTCTGGGACGATTTCAGTTTGTGCTTTGGGATGCAAAAGAAGCAGGAAAGCCAATGAAGCTAATCCAGAAGTTTGTTTCAGCATTCTACTACTAATGCCTATCTTTTAAAGGTTTTAGTTTTCTTGTTGATGACAACTTTCACTTCAGAATTACAGGAAGACAAAGCCTTGTTCTTCTGCAGTTAAATAGCATTTTCTTCTGAAAATTGAAATGACAGCATCTATATATACATTTTTAGCAGCACATATTCTGTCAGTAACAAACTTGTATTTCTGCTTTATTGCTCACATATGCTGTCGTTTTTTCTGTTCTGTAACAGCAGTAAACACAAGTTTCGTCATATTACAATATGGTTATCTTCTGAAAGATATGCCTAGTGGTTATAAAAAAGAGAAATTAAAAGGGTGCAACTTACAGATTCTCAAATTCTGTATAAGTCCATACATGGAGAAAAAATACCCAAGAGTTTTCCTAATATTTTCTTAGCCACAATTAACAATGCAAAGTTTAATCAGTCATCGGCTGAAAAAGGCAGAAGCATTTATCATATAATTATGTTATAAAACACTGCCAACAGAAGACATAAGGCAAAAATAAAATAGATGAAGTGGGTATACTGGAGACTGCTGAATGTTACAATGGAACTATAAGATTGCTGTAAATGTGATCTAAAATTTTAATTAAACTTTGAAAACTATGTTTATACTACTAACACATTAAACAACAAAAAAGCCTGGTGCAGTTGCCTACAGGAATTAATACCATGTTTCTCTCAATTAAAACAACCACATGGAAACAATATCCCTAAACTTCTGGAACACCCAAGAGGTAGGAATGGGCATTTTACAGGGAGAAAATGTACTGGTAACATATTTCAACATTATTCTTTACATTAAGTTCGAGGTAGAAGGAGATAGCTTAAGTCAAACTCTGTACTTTCCGATTTTGTAAACCTTGCTTAACACATGTTCTGGGCCAACAGTTAAGCTGAGAAATTGGTATAAATTCCCCACTACAGCTTAAATCATCAGGTATAATGGAAAATTTACGTGTCTCTTAAAAGAGAACTGAATTCTGATCCAGTGAGGAGTAAACATGGGACCATCTTTCAGATTACTTTTTATCTCTTGTACCCATATGGATGTCTTGATTATAGATGGTCCTGTGACAAGAAACATATCATGTAAACAAGATAAGGACGTTGGTCTTTCCTACATGACTTTCCAATCTAATATAAGAAGAAACATGCGGGTTTCTTTTTACACAAGAAATATGTACAGTGGAAGGGAAAATGTAAAAAATATAACTACTACACAATTTGGTAAGTAAATAACTAATAATCCTTTGGCTGCAAGCTCCAGCCTGCCTCCAAATTTTCATGAAGGTCTAGATAAGGGAGTCTCTGCACCTAGATCTTCCTCAGTTACATAAACTTCTGGGCAACAAACTTAGCGATAATCACTTCAAAACAGAGGGCTCTGCCAACAACGCCAAAGCAAACCCCACGTCCTCCTTCAAGCCTAGCTAACGCCAGGCATCACGGCTATTTTCTAGCGAAACGAAACGCTGAATTATTTGAAGCGATAAGGAACAGACGGGCTCTCCAGCCCGCTACCCTGCCACGTAGCACGGCTCCTACGGCTCGGTCCCTCCGGTGCCCTGCGGCGGAGCGGCACCGCGCACCTTCCCGGGCCCTGGAGCGCCTGTCCCAGCGCGACCCCGCGTGATGGCACCGAACAGGGATGCGCACCCCGCATCCCGGCACAGCTCAGCCGCGCTCCCGGAGCCCTCTCCCAGCGCTAATGACACCTCACCGCACACCCCGGGGAAGCGCTGAGGCTGCTGCAGCGGCACCAGGAGAGCCCTTCCTTCCCAAAACAGCCCCGGCCGACCCCGCCACCCCGACCCCGCAAGGGAATTCGTACGGCACCTTTCCCACCGGGCGCCTCCGGCTGCACCTGCCGCGTCCCGCGGCGGGAAGAGGCCGGTGGGAGCGAGGGACTGGCAGCTCCGGTGACCTGCCCCGCCAGCCCCAATCCCAAAAAAGGGAAAGGTACGCGCTGTGCCGGCTGCCGGCGCTCGAAATACCCGCGGCGGGGCCCGGCCCCCTCCCTTCCCCCGCCGCCCCCGGTGACCTTCCCCGCTCCCGGCCCGGCGGAGGAGGCGGCGGGAGAGCGGCTCCGCACGGGGGTGCGCGTCCCCGTGTCCCCGCGCCGCGCGTCCCCCGCGCCTGGCGCCTCCCCGGGCAGGGCAACGGGACCCGACGCGGCGGGAGGTGCGGGGGCGCTCGGCTCACCAGCCCGGGGGGTACCTGGGGCTTGTTCGAGGCACCCCCTCCACGGTTCCGCCGCCTCCCCTCCCCCCCGGGCTCGCACAACCTACCATTTTATCACCGGCGCTCCCACCAACTTCACCGCCCGGCGCCGCCTCCCGCGCAGGCGCGCACCGGCCCGCCCGCGCCGCCTCCCGCCGGGGAGCGCTCCGGGCACGGGCCGCAGAGGCGGAGCGCGGGGTCGCGGTGCGGAGCCCGCAGCGCTGCCGG